GCCTGTTTAGAAGAAAATTTAATGAACCAGACTATTCACAGTACAGCACAGTTTTTCCTCCCCGAGTTGTGAGGAAGATGGAATTGGAAGTGTTTTATGATCCTTTTCAATGTATACGGGTGGAGCTAGTGTCCTGGGAATTCACACCACATTTTAGCAGAGTTTTAAGTTCAGATGTTAAAGGCCAGTTTCAGCAAGTTCTGAACAGCTGCCAGGGCAATCCTGCTCCAGCCCTCCCCCTCCCCAGCAGCTTTCATTTCTCTTCACATACAAGTGGGAATGGAAAGCCTTTTTAAAGCAGGGGCTTTGGAAACTTTGTGAGTTTGTGGCAGTCTGTTAGTTCCCTTATACAACAACAACAAAAATCATTTGCAGATTTAAAAGACACCATCCTAGGACTGTCAGGGGTGTGTGGGGGTGTATGTGTGGAAGGGATAATGAAAGGCATGGGATGATTTGTGAGTTAAGATGTTCTGGAAGCTTCCCCTCCTGATGTTCCCCAATGGCCTGCAGTTCTCCTGTGGAATAAATCAACAGAAGAGGCAAGAAAGTAAACAGCAGTGGAAAGCATCTCTTGGCTCCATGTGTTCTTGGCTCTGGGGGCACCTCCCACCAGCCAGCTCCTGCCCTCACTGGAATGTACTTCAAAGGGAATTGAATGGTAATAACCTCTTCTGAGGGTGCTCAGCTTGACTTAAGTGTGTAGCCAGGGATTCTACAGAAATGGAAGACTGGATTGTTTTAATTATAAAGGGTGGGGTGAGCAGAAACAAATGAAAAGGGGAAAAAAATGAAAACAATATTTTAAAATCCTGCCATTAAAAGTTATTTTAGTGCAAAGATGCAGCTCAACTCTCGGTTAAACCATGGAGTCTTCCGAGGCAGATGGCTAGGGGCGCGGGGGGTGGGGGGGTTCTGATGTGACTTTCTTTCATACCCTGTGCCAAGAGATTCTAGAAATTCACTGTCGCATTTCCTGGAGTGTCTCTTTAAAGCACCTCATCCCACGTGCTCAGCTGCCAGACTGTCTATAAAAGTGCAGATTCAAAACTCTGCGACTTTGGAGAAAACATTTGTTGGGTCTATAATTATTACCCAAAGCCTGTTATCTCCTAGAATCACATAAAGGAAGACATAATTTCGATATTCTTTTTACTTGAACAGAAAGGTGAAGTGGATTTTTGAAATGGAATACTTTCACAGGCCTCTTGTGATCTAATTTTCCTCAGAGCAACATGGGTATCCATTTTAAAGCAATGTCTGATTTGTCTTCAAAAGGACCTTTTATTGTGTACGTATTTATTTAAAGGAACAAGTAAACACTGTACTTATGACATACAACCGGTTGGTTCAAAATGGTGGGAGGAGCCCTTCTAAAAAGATTTGACTTGGTATTCTTTTTCTTTTCTCCCCATTTCCCTACCCTTACCCAGACCACTATGTAGCCCTGGCTGGGCCTGAAACTTGCTGTGTCGATCAGGCTGGCCTGTGATTGGCAGTAGTCTTATCTTCCTGAGTGCTGACAAAAATGACCGGCACACACCAACACCCATTGTAGTGGACCACAACAGATGCCCTCAACTCCTAGACAAATTCAACACTTGCTAGAAGCTGAAATGGAAGCTCCAGGGCCAGAGTCTGTTCCCGGCCCACCATGTGTGATAAGAACATTTGTTGAGCATATAAATAAATGAATGAATGTAAGTAGCCATTTCACTACAGATGATTTAGGTATACGGTAAATGCTGGATGACAGGACCTCATCAAGAGCCTGGTCAACCCTGAAACCTAACTCCACAGTGTGCTTTTCGAAAAGTTAGACCCCATGTTTCAAAGGCTCTGAAACAGCCACTATTTACTCTACATGCTTTGCTAGGCATGTTTTTAAGTTTTCTGAAAAGTTCTTAAGAATCTTAAGACAGAAAACAGCCCTCAAGGCCTTCCCTGAGACCAGTACTGCTCTTCAGTTCTGTGCCCCTCTTCATGGAACCATGGGGTCTGAAATGGCTGTGACGCTAGCTAGTCAACTGGCTTCCCCTACAGTGGCTATCAAGCTTGTCAGAAATCTGTAAGAATTCTGTGCCTGCCCCCCTCCATCTGTGTCCCTGTTGCTCTGGAAACCAAAGGCCAAGCTTAGTCAGCAGTTTTGCTTACAAGCTGTATTCTCCTGGCCCCCAGTTCCAATTAAAGAGAGGATAGAGGAAAAACAGTATGGAATTTGCTTGAAAATAGCAACAGTCTCTCAACAGTGCAGGCCCTGAAAATTCAATGCTGTTGCTTCAGTAAATAATGCTAAATTTAGGGACCACATTTAAGGAAATTTTCCCAGTTGAGAGAGACAGAGACAGACAGAGAGAGAAGAAAATGTGTGTGCGTGTGGTGTGATGTGGGGATGCTCAGACTCGGGCCAAACTTTGGGCACAGCACAGGAAGTCTTATGAAAGAGACTTTAACTGTTTTAACTGTTTCTGGTTGGAGTGGGGATAGGAAAACCACCATTCCATGATTACTGAGTCTATTTAGACATCTTCCCCCCCCCCATACTCCAGTAACAAAATTAAAAAGACATCAAAACCATCCATCTTATCTTCTAACTAGAAACACTCACCACACTCACCACACACACACATACACACACACACACACACACACACACACACACACACACAGTCAAACCTGAGCAAACGCTGCCAGCCTTTCCGCCCTGCTGCACTGTGTGAAGGGCTGTGCACTGTGCTACCCTAAAACGCACCAAGCTCCCCAGCTGCCAGGGAGCAGTACTGAAGGAACTATGTTGGCATTTCTGTAATATGAACCATCAAAACTATCTGTGGCTCAAAGAAACCTACAGCTAGAATAAAGGAAACAATCCCAGGCACTTTTCCCCCACCCCTTTCAAAAAATTCTTTCTGTGGGAAAGAAGGAGACAGGGTAAAATAAAAAAATTATATAAGGAGGAAGAAACAGAAACAAACCATTCCTAGCAGAAGAGTGATTTAAAACACGCACACACATTTAAGAACATTTAAAGACAAAACTGGGAGAATTTATAAATGCTACTATAATACTGTATAATTCACATTATATTTCCAAATAAGAAATTGACTGATTCCATACAGAAATATGCAAAAGTGGAAAACAATAACGATTATTTTCTGCCAAGAAACATGATAGTATATATTTAAAAACAGTAAAACAGTTACCACAATGCAGCCAAGAAAGCAGAAACTTAGATTCTTTGTTTTTGTTTCTGTTTCTTGAAGGATTCTCTGTGTAACAGACTGGGCTGTACTGGACTCACTCTGGACATCAGGCTGGCCTTGAACTCAGAGATCCGCCTGTCTCAGCCACCCGAGTGCCAGGATTGCAGGTGTGTGCCACCACACAGCTTAAAAATTTAGATTCTGAGAGTTCCCTAACGTCTGTCCTCCTGAACTTGACATTCATTTCTCATTTTCAAAGACTACATCTGAGACATATTTGGTGAGCAAGACATTACTATCGACAGAAGATGGTGTATAGATTTTTAAAATAACAGCTGTAACTTGAGAAAGCATTTACCTTTTGAAACCCCCATATTCCTTCCAAGGACACTCTCTGAACAGTTGGAACTATTTGCCTAATAGTGGCAAAAGGACTCGAACTCAGCCAGGTTGTCTTCCTTCCTTCCATTTCCTTTCTTCTTGCCCTCTCTGTCTTTCTTTGTCCCTCTGTGCTAGGAACTGAGTCTAGAACCTTGAACATGCTGACAATGACTCTACTGCTGAGCTACAGCCCCAGCTCTGGGGCCTCAAAATCTCAACTCCGACTCGGCCTTTTGAGTTCTGGATTGAAGGTGTGCATTGCCATTGCTGGCTTTTCTCTTTGGTTTATGAAGTACAGTCCTGAACCCGCAGAAGACACACAGCAATTCCTGTTGCCCAAATACACATAGCATGGGTAACACAGTAAACAGACTGAGGCAGACATCATGGTACATTCCTACCACAGGATTTAGGAGCTGAGGCAGGAGGAGCTCAAGTTTGACACTAGTCTGGGATGCAAAACAAGATAATATTCTGTTTGTTGTTTTGGAGACAATGTCTCATTATACAGCTCTGGCTGTCTGTCCTGGAACTCACTCTGTAAACCAGACTGGCCTTGAACTCACATGGATCCACCTACCTCTGCCTCCCAAGGGCTGGGATTAAAGGTATGTGCGCCACTATGCCCAGGTGTAACGAGACATTCTTAAAACAAAAATGTCTGACTGATACGGTTTTACACATCATTCTGCATTCTTCTAATCCATATCCAAACCAGTTTTCTTTCTCATTCTGCTTTGACTTCATCATTTTTCATGCTCTATAATAGAAAAAGATGGCTGCCTGCAGAGGGCTATTTTTGGGGAATGCCTGTCTACTATCTCCTTTAATGAGGGAAGGGGGTCCAAGTTGACTTTCTAGAACAGCTTCTATCTCTCATCTCTTCCAATATTCTCTCTTGGGGGATTGCTGTTATACGTCCTCGTACTCTTGAGATTGCCATGCTTCGTGTAATCCCAACTGAGCCCAACCTGCAAGCAATCCTCACTGTTAGCGAACATCCTCCTGGACTTTGACCGCCCACCAGCATACTACCGCTAAGTAACCTCAAGCCAGTGACAACAGAGGAACGGCTTACCTCAGCCCCTTCTAAATTCTTGATCCACAAAACTGTGTGGTTAAATTAAATGACTATTTCAAGTCCCTGAGTTTGGGGGATAATAATTTGTTACAAAGTAAATAGCAGATTGAAACATGTTCTTTCTTAATTTCTCCTTTCTCCCCTTGTAAACTCTATCATTGGAAGTCAAGGCAACTGCGTGAATGTGAGCTCCTATGTTTAGCACTGAAGAGATTTCAGGCACAGAGAGTTGGCAGAAGAAACTGGCCTGTGAGCATGAGTCTTTGGCCTCATTCTGAAAGCAAACAGCCGCCCAGGGACACAGAGCTTCTAATGGGTACCATGGAAGACCATACCTGTCTCATGAGCTCTTCTTGACGCATCCGAATCCTCTCCCTCTCCATCTGGATCCTCTGAAGCCGGAGTTTCTGCTGCTGCTGCTGCTGAGTGGTCAGAGCACTGGGCACACTCATGAGCCCCGTGGGTGGGTTCTGAGTTGGGTGACTCTGTGCACTCAGGCTACTGGGCACGACTTGCTGCTGGTGTTGGTGATTCATCACTACAGGAGAGAAGAACAAAATATCAATGGCTGGGGCCTGTGATTACTTATCCTAAAGAGTTCGCCAGAATGCTTTGTGCTTTGGAGTAGAGATCCCCAAATTCCTTTCAAGCTCTTTACTGCTAATCATTACCATTTAACAATTAATTGCCTTAATTCAATTCATGAAGGTACAGGTACCAGCCCCATACTATCTAGTCTTGGCTTTCTGTGCTGTTAAAAAGCTCTTTTTTAAAAAAAGATTTATTTATTTTATGTATATGAGTCTTCTATCTGCATTTACACCTGCCAGAAGAGGAAATCAGTTCACATTATAGATGGTTGTGAGCCATCATGTGATCACCGGGAATTGAACTCATGACCTTTGGAAGAGCAGACAGTGCTCTTAACCACTGAGCTGTTGCACCAGCCCCCTGTTAAAAACTCTTATTTCATGTTTCCTATGCCTAGAATACTGTAATAATTTTATTATACTAATATGTGTGTGTGCACGCTCATATACCAGTGGGCACATACATGCGTAAGACCTAGTTGGTTCTCTACTTCACCATGTGGATCCCAGAGCTGGACTCAGGTTGTTAGGTTTACAGCTAGTACCTTTCCCCATTGAGCCATCTCACAAGCCCCGTCCTAGAATACAGACTACACTTAACATAAAACATAATGGTAAAAATATGTCCCACAAAGTTTGTCACAACTTAGGAAAGATTTTTTTTCTCCAGGACACCCAGGAGCGTGTGAATCTTTCAGACACCCTGCATATCTGTAGCAGCAATACAGAAGGCATGCAATCAACTCTCAATATCCAATGGGTATACAGGAATACCAAAGATGAATGGCTGAACTGAGAGCAACAGGTAAACAAAACAAAACAAAACAAAGCTCAATCATAAAAGGGATCCACTACATACTTTGTTAAAAAAGAGTAACCCTGGGACAGGAAGGGTAGCTCAGATAATAGAAGACTTGCCTAACAGGAAGTCCTGGGTTCCATCTTCAGCATCATAGAAACCTGGAGTGATGGTGCATGCCTATAATCCTAGCGCTCAAGAAACAGGAGACGAGGAAATGCTGGGTAATCATCACCAATACAGGAAGAGGCCAGGCAGGCATGGAGCACGCCTTTAACCCCAGCATTCGGGAGGTAGAGGCACGTGGATCTCTGAGTTTGAGGCCAGCCTAGTCCACAGAGCGAGTTCCAGGGTAGCCAGAGCTACAAAGAGAAACCAAGTCTCAAAAAAAAAAAAAAAAAAGGAAAAGGGGGCAGGGTGGAAAGATGACCCTGGTTAAGAGCCCTGTGGCTGCTCTTCTAGAAGACCCAGGTTCATTCCCAGTACTCATCATGGCAGGTCACAACCCTCCTGGAGATCCAAGACCCTCTTCTGACCTCTGCAGGCACCAGGCATGAATGTAGTACACAGGAATACATGCCAGTAAATACCATACAGTAAATAACATACTTTACTTTACTTTTCTTTTCTTTTTTTTTTTTTTTTTTTTTTTTTTTTGACAGGGCTGTACGGGAACACAGAATCTGTCTGATTCTGCCTCAAACGTACAGAGATACTTTAACTAAAGCCCAAATGTTAAAAGCTTTTCTTTGCACATGTTCTGGGGGTGGAGTCTTGCATATAAAGAATGTGTTGTATTACTACACTCCGGGCCCCCACAGTTGAATATTTTAACTCTCAGTTTGCCATAGCTACGTTGTGGAAGCATGTCGTGTAGCTGAAGTTGCTTGGGTGAATGAGAAAGCAGCCTAGCTTCCATGAATAAAGCATGTGCAGCAGGCAGAGGTGGTGCCACTCCGCTCCTAAGCTAGGGGTGAGGAGCCAATGGAACCACTGGGCATTTCTTACAGCCTTAGCTTGAGAACAGAGAAGAAAAAACAAGAACAACAACAAAAGCCCTTACTCCCAGAGCTTGGTATAGCCAGGCTCTGTTAATGGCTGGAGGAAGAAGAATTTTGCACATATGGTGTCACAAGGAAAATGTTCCCTCATATACAGTTTCACCCAAAACAAAAATCCAGACATCTAGAAGAGCTTGATTAATAAAATCTATTTAAAGTTCAAAGGAAGTGAAGTTGTTAAACAATTATTGCAAAGGACAGACATTTCTGAATTCTCTGGAATAGAGCATGTCTACCTTTCTGACATAACTGCTATAGACACAAAAAAGACACAGAATGTTCCAAACAGCAGAAGCATCCAGATTGGGGATGGGGTGGGGTTAAAAGGACAGGCTGTTAATATTTTTTTTTCTAAATGTCAATTACCCAAAAACTCTTCTTTATGTGTTTGCATACCTACAGGTGCCCAGGGAAGCCAGACGAACCACCTGACAAAGGAGTTGAGATCTGAACTAGGTCCTCTGGAAGAACAACGTGCACACTTGACTACTGTACCACCTCTCCAAGCCAAAAGCTCAAGTTTTTAAAACTCTGACTTAGGCCTGACGAGTTAGTGACTAACATGACGAGGTGTGTGTGGAACTGTCTTCAGCCTCTTAGGAAGAACACCTTTGCAGTGGACAAACACTGGCTGCCCAGGGTTCAATTACAAACAATGTGCCCCTCTGGAATTCAACTCCATGCCACAAGCGGATGCTCGCTTTAGAGTTTATTAACGTCTGTTTTGTTTTAAACTAGTTATTTAAGACTTAGAGGCTGGCTCTCCCCAAACCGTTCATCTTCAGAACATCTACTCTTAGAGGTGTTCACTCTGTCCAGAAGATGTTCCTGGCAAGGGAAGGGGAGCTGTTGTCTTCTTCCACTGACTCGAGATTTGACCAATTAGACTAAACATCCCTGGTTATTAACTGTAGTCTGGAAAAGACTGGGCCTTAGACAATGGTTTTGTTTTCAAAAGAAAACATTCAAGTACAGTGCATTCCTCACGGCATGTGAGGATATGTAGAGTAATATTACTTACAATAGTAAAAGACTAAACATGACCTTTTAGTTAGTTAGTTAGTTGGTTGGTTGGTTGGTTGGTTGGTTGGTTGGTTGGTTGGTTGGTTAGTTAGTTAGTTAATTAGTTAGTGTGCCTCAGTGTTTTGCCTGCATGGATATCTGTGTGAGAATGTCGGATCCCCTAAAGCTGAGTTAAAGACAGTAGTGAGCCATGTGGATGTTGGGAATCAAACCTTCATGCCCTGGAAGGGCAGCCAGCACTCTTAACCCTGAGTCATCTCTACAACTCCCTAAACATGACTGTACTGTCTATCCATTCCACATTATAGTCTGTCCATTCAGGGGCAGTCTACATGGAATAGGAATTCCAGAGGATAAGGGACTCTATCTATTTATGGAAAGGAGAGGATGATATATACACATTTGTCCTAGAATGGGCATGAAGCTGGTGACAGTGGTACTTCTGGGGAGGAGTCTGGGTGTCAAAGATGAAAGACCCTCTTCTCATTCTGCATCTTTTGAGTTGTGCCAATATGCACATACTACTTATGTGGAACACAGTGAAATTTTTAAAATAAAAATTGGAATAACAGGAGCTGGAAAGATGGCTCAGAAGTTAAGAGAAATCGTTGTTCTTGCAGAAGTAGGTTTTCTAACACAGTATGTATAGCAGCTTACAACCCTCCTTCACTCTAGTTCCCGGAAACCCAGTACACTCTTGCAGCCTCCGTGGGCACCAGGCAGACCTGCAGTTCAGACAAACACATGAAGGCCAAGTACTCACACACATAAAATAAAAATAAGTCTCCTTTCAAAAGTTCAAAACAACGAACAAAAGCCATGATCCTCCAAGCATCAAACTCAATATTTTCCTGGTGTGGTGAATTAAAACGACACTAAAATTATTTCAAGCACAACAAATAAGGCTGAGAAAATAAGATCATTAGTGCAACTGCTCTGTATAAAAAGGAGAAAAACAAAACCCAAGAGAAAGCAGCCTAGAATCCAGGCACCTTGACTTAATTCACTATTCAACTTTGTTCCTTCCAATTGACTAATTTCCAAGAGCTATCGGGCTGCCTCAAGACTAGAGCTGGTGACCTTCACTGCTCTCTGAACATCTTTAAAGTCACTGCATTTGGGGACCCGAGGGGAAGACAAGACGGCTACAGCAGAAAGAAGGTCACTGGGAGAAAACAATCAAAACATCTGACATTGCAACGGACAAAATAGTCTTTGGGGTGATATATCAGGACATTTCTGAGAGGAAACAATGGTCCCATTTTTTTTAAAAGAGTACCCCAGTGCAGTATGAGGCCAACCTACCATGAACTGCCTCAGAAAGCCTAAAGACTTTGTGTGTTCAAGACCTTTACCATCCCCAAATAAAGAAATCATCCAAGCACATTATTTCTCTACTGACACAACAATGCATCAAACTCAAGTTGAGACATCTGTTTTTCCTGCTTCCAAGAGAGTAAAATTGTTTTTCATCTGTTCTATTTTGGGGGGAGGAGATAAATTGGTTTTCTTCTCTGTGATCGAAAATTAGTTTTAAAATAATTATGCTTTTAATTGGTACTATTCAACATAAAAGAAATGCCATGCTATGACAGCGTCTTTGACAAAGCGCTGGGGGTAGTAAGGGTTACGGAGGATAGTCATGACCCTCTCTGGTCACTGCTGTCCTGGGGATGATGTGCAATGACACACTCTCCCACCCTTTCCAGCAAACACCCTTGGTCATTCCACAACACCTTAAGAGTGAAAGAAGCTCAAAGTGAACCATGTTCCTGAATTCAGTTCTATCTCTGTGGCGGAAAAAAAGGGCTTTGGTTTTGAATTGCTGCCTTTTGCAGTACCGGGTAACAGACAGCAGGGTGATGGTTCATAGAGAAAGTGTTCTGGCCGCTTCCCAAGTCCAGGAGCTGCAACACACAGGTTGCTAGGCAAGGTGACCAGAATGTTTGACAAATGTCTTTTGGGCCTCAAAGACATCCAGTGGCTTGTTCTTCTGTGTTCTAGGCTTGCTTCCCTCCTTCATGAACAGCTTTGGGTTCTACATACACAGAAAGCCAAGAGAGAC